TCTCTGAGCAACTTGATCCAGTGGCTCATAACATTCTGAGTAAATAATTTCTTTACAATATCTAACCTTAATCTCCCTTCCTTTAATTTAAAGCCATTCTCCTTGTCCTATTACTATCAGACCATCTAAAATGTTGTTCTCCCTCCTGTTTATAAACTCTGTTTAGGTATTGGAAGGTCTTCTCTTCTTCAGTCTGAACAAGTTCAGCTCCCTCAACCTTTGTTCATAGTAACGATGCTCCATCCCAACACTCCATGTCTTTGTGTTGGGGACCCCAGGCCTGGATGCAATACGTCACATGGGACCTCATGAGGGCAGAGTAGAGGGGAACAATCACCTCCCTCTCCCTGCTAGTGACATCTCTTTTGACGCAGTCCAGGATACAGTTGGCTGTCCAGGCTGCAAGCGCACACACTACTGGCTCACGTCAAGCTTTTAGTTCCCCAGAACCTTTAAGTCCTTCTCTCCAGGGCTAGCTCTTAATGAGTTCTTCTCTCAGTCTGCTCTCATGTCTTGGATTGCCCTGACTCAAGTACAGTACCTTGAATTTGGACTTGCTGAGTCACATTCAGCTTACAGGGACCCATTTCTCAAACTTGTCTAGATGCCTTTTGATGACTTCCCTTCCTTCTATTATATCAACGGCACTATTCAGCTTAGTGTCATCTGCAGGCTGCTGAGTGGTTGTTCTTTTTCTTCTACTCATTTAACATGCAGTTCTCAGAGAATCATAGAATGACTGGTGTTGGAAAGTGCCTGTGGAGATCATTTCATTCAACTTCCCTGCTCAAAGCAGGGTCAGCCAACGTGCATTGCTCATGACCATATCCATTTGGTTTTTGAGTATCTCCAAGAACACAGAATCCACAATCTCACTTGGCAACTTGTTCACTTGTTTGACATATCTCACAGTAAATTTTATTAAGTGGGATTTTCTTTATTTCATTTTGTGTCCTTTGCCTCTTGTCATTTCACTTGGTACATCAGAGATGAGTTTTTACTTATCTTCTTTAATTTCCCCATCAGGTGTTTAAACATACTGGCAAGAACATCCTGAACATTCTCTTCTCCAGGCTGAAAAAACCCCCAATTCTTTCAGCCTTTTATTGTGTGACTGGCACTCCAGTTCCTTAATGATGTCATGCTCTTCACTAGACTTGTTCCATTTGTTCCACGTCTCTTTTGTCCAGGTGGGCCCAGATCTGAATTCATCACTCCAAAAGTAGTCTTAACAGACTGAGCAGAGCGGAAGGATTACCTCCCTTGACCTGCTGGCAACACTCTTACACATGCAGAGCATGATGTTTTTGGCTGCCTTTGCCTCAAGAGAGCACTGCTGAATCACGTTCAACTTGTTGTCCACCAGGATACTCAGCCAGGTATTTTTCTGAAAATCTGCTCTATAGAGAGATGGCCTTCCATATGCACTGGTGCATAGGGTTACTCTACTTGAAATGCTGGATTCCATGTCACAAATTCATAAAGTTCCTGTTCATTCACTTCTCCAGACTGTTGAGATCCTTCTGGATGGCAACACAACCCTCCACCATATCAGCCATTACTCCAGCTTTGTGCCATTTATGCACCTGCTGAATGCACTGTCTCATAAACCATGTCATTAATGAAAAGATTAAACAGTACTGCATCCATTATTGGCCCCTGTGGTACTCCACTAATGACTAGCCTCTGGCTGCACTTCAGGCTGCTCATCATAAGCCTTTCAGCTGTCCATTTCAGACAGTTTTCAGTACAACTCACTGCTCATTTATCTATGACATACTTCCACATGTCTTGTTCTTGTGTGAATTTATCTCAATCTTCCTTAATTTTTACCAAGTGAGTGTGTTACTTGGCAAGCTCACTTAATCACCTGTTGCCCATTTTATGTGTGCTATCATTACAATGACTTTTAGTTGACATAACATAAACGACTCCTTAAAATAGCTTAACCTTACCTTCTTCCACTCTCAACAACCATTCATTAAGATATTTCTTTCCTCTAAATTAGTCTTTCATCAGTTATAAAATTGTGCTCTTACTCTGCATTTTCCTATTTCTATTACTCCTGTTAAAGACTTGATCAAATTCTTTAATAGAGCCAAGTAAATTGTATCCCCTCCTTCTTTTGAACTGTATTTTAAAAACCTTTCCAAAGAATTCTAACAAGTTAATGAGACATGTCTAGTTCTAAGTGAAACCATATTTTTAAATCTATTGCCAACAACTTTTAGTCCTTTCCCTCACTCCAAACACAGTTAGTAGACACTTGAGTGTAAAATACAGTATTGTTTTACCATCTTTCTTGTCCCTTAATGCCACAAGGAGATTTCAGGAAGTACTTTTACTGAAACAATCAAAGAAATAACATCTTTGGTGTGCTCTGGACATCAAAATCCCAGTTTTCATTCACTACACGCTGCTGTTGAAGAATAATGCATATCAAAGAAAATAAAAGATTGTCCCATTCTTCTAGTAGTGAACTCTGGCAGCATCATTGCAAACACAAATATCACTGTTCATTACACCAACATTACTTCCATAGAAGAAAGTGGTAGAAGTTACACCAATTTCACAGAAGACATTTGAGCAATGTAGAGTGCATTTGACTCAGTAAGTCCTACAAAGAAAGCAAAATTCTTAGGGAGAGTTCAGAAAAAAATGTAAGAAACATACGGATATCATAAATTTGAGGCTAGAAATATAGTGTTGATTTTAAATCTCCTTCATATAAAATAAGCACAGCTACCAGTAGGCTATTGAAAAGGTTTCTGTCACTGAAGTGTGGTGTTAACAAGAAAACACTTCGAGAAACTAACTATATTAGTAACATTATTTCAGCAGAGCACCTCTTATTTTTGAGGCAGAACAATCTTTCTGGGCTTTTCAGATTCTGCAATGCTCTTGGTTAGGGAAATTATTTCAGAAAGCTATAAATGACTTCCAGTACATCAGACAAATTTGAAGATTGCCCCTCTGACAGCCAAAGCACATTTTGGTCATAGTGCTCTATCTGTTTTTCAACCCCAAGTCTTATTTATGCCAAGCCTTGTGGATGGAACCAAAAATGAATGTCACAAAAGGATGTAGATATGTAATAGGTAGTGCTCACAAGTTCAGGCCTTCATGCTGTATGCACAAAATAAGTTACTTCTTCAATCATATATCCAATTACTGCTTTTACAATGGATTTGGAAGACTGTGCCAGTGTTATAATTTTCAAATTTATATAAGAAAATGGCAAAGAATTAGGCATAAAGAAAGTTTACCTGCCATTTAGTCTGCCTTTCAGTCTGTCTGCCATCCATTTCCTCCTCTATACTCTTTTTTATATTTTTCACTACTGAATTGTTATCCAAGCTGACAATACAGATCTACTTATCTTCCTTATCCCCACTTTGATAGCAAGAAAGGCAATGCAAGGGAAAGAAGACGACTTATGTTTTTCCCTAGTAAGTAGCACCTTGAATGCAGAATTCTAAGCAGGATTTCTTAGAAGAGAAAAAAAAAGGTATTTCATCCTCATTATCCATTCAGTTATCTTTTAGTTATAAGCATCCTTAGCATAGTAAGCGCCATACCACTCACTAGACCATGTGAAATAAGTAGTGCAGAAAGCTACATTTCAGCTTAATGCTATTGAGATTTATTTCGGCAAATAATAATATTCGGATTGTCTCCCAGTGACTGCTCCTTTTTGTATGTTGCAATGTGGCTTTTAAATCTTATTTAAAAATAACACTTATTATTCACCTTCTTATCATAAGGCCCAAACTATATTTCATTTCATGCTGCACTGAAATAACAAATATACTGTTAAGCACAGAGAGGTGCAGAGGTTACCACTTGTGAATAGTTGATCATAAAACTCCAGATTTTATTGTTTAATACAGAAATTTATTTACTTGAAAGCGTCAACTTAGTTGAAACAGCAATAATAAACAAAAACAAATTGTTATCCTTATAAAATATATAGGTGCTATTAATTCTGTAACATATGCTAGCAGTACAGTGGCAGAACAGATTCCATTTAAACCTGGAAATGAAAGAGATGAAAATACAGGGGACTCACTTATGTTAGTGGCACACGTTAGAGGTAACAAAAACGTAGACTGTCATCTGGCAATGATGGCATACACCAAAGAAGAAGAAAAGAAAGGGAAAAATAATAAACAGAAGTTTATAGTTTGGATCAAAATCACTTTCCATTGAAAAACGGTATCCCTGAGAGTACTGAGTAACTGAGTACTGGATTTACTGATACCACACAGGATTTTTTTTTCATTTGCTTGCCTGGGTTTTTTTTTTTCTCTCTACAACTTTGTGTCAAAGTAAGGACACTGTAATATAAAAGTTAATCTTTATTTCTTTAAACTGTCCCTGCCTCATGTAAAATATCCCATTTATCTGGGATATTTATTCAGACATTTCCGACTATTTCAATACTTTTTGAGGTAGTGGAAATCCATCACGCTTTGAGGCCTTTTAATGCAGTGGGAAGCCTTTTTTGTCTCTGCCTGTTAAAGGCCACGAAAGCACACTGACAATCAGCATCTACTAGATACCTGTTGGAAGTAAATTAATATTGGCATAATTCAACAGCATAAACAGTAATTACAAGAAGAAAGGATGAATTTCTCAGACTGTATTATATAATGTTGTCTTCTAAGATAATATAAATAAGATACACAAATAGGACAAGCTATTCATTTTAGGCCTTTCAGTGTCTGCACTACTGGTAAAAAAAGTCCTATGACACACAGAAAAACATGATAAACTTTCATAGTGGACTCATACAGGCTTGTGGGGTTTTGTTTGGTTGTTCTGTGGAATAAAGGAAGTTACACACACACAGAAATTTCTCCTTTACTGTTGTTAGTTAAAAAAAAAAAAGTAGCTTTGTTTAAAAAGAACCCAACACTTCGAGACAGTGTTCCTTAAAAACCAATTATTATATTTTCCTTTCAATTTTTTTAATACTATGTGCCACACATATCATTTACCTATCTCAGACGCAGCCACTGTGATGTTGTACCAAGGTGTTTCCTCTCTGTCAAAGATCTTGGCAGTTTTAATGGTTCCAGTGTTAGCATCAATGGTGAAATATCTATCTTCTTCTGTGTTATGATCAATGAAATATCTAAGGAGAAATAAAATAGTAAATACATACTCATTGTAAAAAGTATGATCCAAGGTAACAGAAAGCTACATAAGAATATTACTTTCAGTCTTTCAAAGATCTTGGAGATTTTAGATGTTTTCTAACATCTAAGAAACATCCTAAGAAAAATTCTCTATTATGGGGATGGATACCTGAAATAACATTGTCTTTCACTCCTTTCATAATATTATTTGATCTTTTGATATGTAATAAGATTTCCACTATGAGTCACAAATACATAGATTGCTAACAGGTGATATTTTAGACAGCAGTGCTCATTTCTGTCAAAAGACACTGAGCATATTTACTTTGATTATAACAGTGGAAAGGCAGAAAAGAAAACAGAAAAATATTCTTCTGCTTAAACAGCCTGTTCAGTCCCAGAACCTGTTTTGAAGCATGTCTTTTTGACATGAAGTTGACGACATAGCAACATAAGCCATTTTAAACATGTACATTACAAAGACTAGAAGCAGAAACAGCTGATTCCCAGAGATGCTGTTGACATTAGCCTAGAAGCCAAGAAGCATGCCTCCTTAACTCCCTTGGCTTCTGGGCACTTTGCCTAGCAGAGAAAGTAAAAACCTTTAAGTGGGTAATGGAAGCAGATGGGAACACAAAAGACGAGATTGACAAAACTTTTCTTTTTTTTTTTCACAAAGCCTGAATAGCTTACAATAGCTTTTACAAATGAACCAATTACACACCCCAATTAAACCTTCTCTTTTAGACCTGATGAGGAAATAAGGAACAATATAGAGCCTTTTACGTACCATAATTGTTTTCCTTCATAATTTGCCAGCCTTGCTTTGCTTTCATTCTGGGATATTTTTAATATATGGAAGATACATATAGATTAAAATGATTTATTTGTCCCATCCAACTGCTCTTATTTCTACTTCACCAAAGGTTTAATTGCCAACTAATAAAAAGAGTGGTGCACATAAAGGCTGCAAAGCTCAAAAAATTAAAAATAACTTCAGTTTTATTACTCTCATAATGTGCTTATTCAGACTATTTACAGAAATGGAAAACAAGCAAGAAACACTTGGATGAATGATACAAAAAAAAATAAGATATGTTTTCTGAAAAAGCAGAAGAAATAAAGGACTAGAGGAGGAGATGGCAATTTGAATGAATCACCTTTACTGTTCAAAGGATAGGAGAGAATGTAAAAGCCAGCTAGGATGTGATGATTTTCCTTATTAGAAAGAAACTGAACCCATCTCTTCTAGCAGTAAGAAAAAATATACATAAGCTTACAATAGGGCAGTTTGGGTTGTGGCATTTAAGATTTGTCTTTTCACGTTTCCTGCGTTTTCAAAAATTAAAAATATGTTCCAGGCACTGGAAATCTGAGCGGACCAAACCAGGCTAGAAAATCTTTCTCTTTTGACTCTTTGCATCCTTCCTCTCACCATCCTGAAGAGTGAAACAGCTCCTGTATGACCATGGGGGTGGTTTGAGCAACAACAAACCTTCATGCTCCTTCGGAATAAAAATTTAACTTACCTTCTCCTATCAAACTAAGTCAGAACCCATGTGATCCATCAGTTACCAACACCTGGGAACATTTCATTATAAAATACTTCAGAAGTGCTCAGTGATGAGACTCAAGATGTGAAAGATGGCAGTGGAAGTTGCCTCAAGCAGAAAAAAAGACTTAAAAGGTCTCCATATTAGAAGTAAACTGGAAAGATCTTGAGTATGTAGGAGACGGGGGAATCACTTTTAAAGAATTCAAGTCAGGAAGCATTCTTCCAGAAAACATTATTTAATCATTGCATCCTAAGTTGGATGAAAAAAAACCCAAAAACAAAGAAAACACTGATCATTACAAAATAAATGTTACAGATATCCAAGGAAACCTGTATTGCTTTCAAAGAATACTGGAATCCGCTGTGGACACATTGCAAAGCAAGAAAAAGACCTCCACAGTTATTCTCTTGGTATTATTTTATCTAGAAGAATTGGGCCAAGCTACCCACACACTGGGAATCAAAATTAACTTTTGAGTTTCAGAACAATTGATTTTACCAGTGTTTCTGCTGGTCTTAGTCTACTAAAAAGAGAGCTGTGCAGAGCTGATCAACTGTGAGCAGGATTTGCGGGTTCTCCAAGCAGTTACTTGTAACGGAAATGTTTTGAAAGACTGATCCAATATCTGTGGAAAAGTTTTACTTCCTATGCAGGCAAATAGTTCTACCTTTTCCTAACTACTAAGAAACTTTGTAGCCAGAGTGCAATCAAACTCAGAAAGTACATACAGCTGCCATGCTTGGCGCAGAGCTGTGTTAAGATTTGAAGTCTATCCAGAAGATGCATGCTTCAATTGGATCAGTGCCTCCAGGCCTTATACTTCATACTTGGCAATGCAGGCAACTTGACAAATTTTTGGACCATGTTAGCTGTGCTATTGTTAAGGGAGAAATAATGAAGTCTAGTTGTGTTGGACAAGATGGACAGCACATGCATATACAGACCTCTTCTACAAGAAGTGGAATAGTGACAGAGGAAGGATAGAAAGAATAACTGTTCACCAAATAATTTTCCTGGAGACCTTAGCAAGACCCTTTACTGTCAAAATTCTCTGTCAGGTATGTGATGACAAAATGTAATTCTTTCTCCCTGGCTACAGCCTTGTTCTTGGCTCTAGAGGTCTCCTGAAAATTACATGAATTATTTACAGGAAAACAAAACAAAACAAAATCTTCACTGAGCTATTCTTATGGAATATGTATTCTTAATTAAAATATATATATATATTATACATGAATCTTGCCTCTGCAAACATTTACTACTGTCAATAGCGTTTACTTATTACCAACATCAGACAGAGTGACTACTCTGAGAGTCAGAGTAGTGCTAATATTGTGCTAATAACCGTAAAAAGTAGGACTATTTCCAGACATAAGCTTAAAAACAGACATAATTTTAAACTGGGGTTAATGAGGAAAAAAAAGCAATAGGAATACACTGCTGCTTTTGTGCATGTCTAATTCACAATCATAACAAATTATTACTTTTCTGTCTATGAGGGAAGCAAGAGAACCAAAAAGAACCAGTATCATATACCAAATATGAAGCTTATGTAGAAAGACTGAAGCTCAATTCTGCTGTGAATTGTGACACCCTAACACATCATTTTCATAGACACATAACAAAACATTGCCTTAGATTTTGAAATATGAACAGTTTTTTTCTAAATCACTTACTTAAATATATCTATATAAGCTGAAAGCTCAGTATTGGATGAATAATTTAAATTGCACTTTCTATGTCACTCATAGAAATAAAGCAGTCCTGAGGTGATTCTTTCAGTAACACTTTCATTTCCAGTGACAACAGAAAAATAAGGAATGATAATAATTTATCCACAGTAGCATTTTCTCTCTACATCCTAACTTTTTCATATAGTTACAGCATATTAAAACATCTAGAGCTCAACAGAATTTTTCTTGATCATGTATAAATGAAACAGTGGCCCTGTTTAAGGCTTTCTTATTATGAAGTTTAGTTCTCTTCCATTTATCCATATTCTTCCTAAATATTGCTTTGTGTATCATGCCTAGAGCAGCCATTTGCACTACTGGGGCTCCCATCCTTCATGAACGTCTGTCTGAAACAAGCTACAAATGACATCCTCAAAGAGCAAAGGAAATATGAATATTAATATAAAGCTCTACACTCAGATACCCCAAAAATGTTTTGTAAGATAGAGCCACTCATTCTTGTCACATATAAAAGAACATTTAGAATAAGTTTCATTGCATTTATAAAGCACATAACATTTTAAGGCTTTATAAAATATTAGCCACAAAGTTTTATACGTCCTGATTTTGGCTGGGACAGAGTTAATTTCCTTCCTAGTAGCTAGTATGGCGATTATGGGTTTTTCTAGGTTGCAAAGAGCTATAATGCAAGTTTAGAATTTCAAAGTTATGTCAAAAGTAAATTTTCATCATGACTACGCATGATGCAGATCAGCAACAGAATATGCACTTTTTTTTTTTTTTTTTTTCAGGTAGAGTCACTGAATGGAAAGGCATTACCAGCCTTCTCATTCCTACTTCTGATCAAACCCCTAGCTTCTATGACTTCACATCTCGTTTCCTGGTTTTTAGTGAAGCAGCGGTTCAGTGAGGACAGATATTTCCACTTTTTTTTTTTCTTTTTTTCTTTTAACTTTTTTTTTTTTTTTTTAATCAAAAGTGCTTGCATGAATTAGGAAATAAAGAGAAAATTATATGCAAGATAGGCCCTAGGCGCTCTTGACATATAAAGCAGTTTGCATTTTAAAGTAGTTGGGTTTTAATAGCACAGAGAATGCTTGAGCATGAAGAAGGTTCTAAAAGATGCTAAAGGAGTTTAATAACAATCACTGAACCTTTTAGAAGGGTTTCTGAAGATAAAACTCGTAATTATTTTCATAATCTAACTAAATTATTTGGCTTTGAGATAACATTAAAATCAGTTTGGTAATTGATAAGTGCTATAGTCTGTCAAGATCCCAGCGTCCACTTCCAGTTTTTATGTTTCATAGTTAAGCCTTGAATTTGAGATTTAAATCTTGTTTTGAGCTTTTGACTTGTCTTTTTTTTGTTGTTGTTTTTTGTCATTAAGCAAGTCTTTAAGACATTCCTTCATTATGCCATTATTATTTATTACTAAATTTAATATGAGCAAACAAGAACTCTTTCAGAAATTACAACCTTGTCGACAAAACTTTTAGTTCTAAACTTCTAAAATCACATTTCAGGCAGGTTCAGATTTACTGTTCATAAAATCTCTTTAAGCTTGTATATAGAGATATATCTAATAGTCAGCTCTCAAATAACAACAAAAACTGGTTACAAAGAACCACTAACAAAAGTTAGTGGGAATACTGGCCAAACTGATCAGTCATGCCATCTAAACACTATAAGAAATCAGTTGATTAAATACGTTAGTGAATAATCTCAGAATAAAAATATCCAGAT